ATTTTTTGTATTTTTAGTAGAGACGGGGTTTCACCATGTTGATCAGGATGGTCTCGATCTCTTGACATCGTGATCCACCTGCCTCGGCCTCCCAAAGTGCTGGAATTACAGGCGTGAGCCACCGGAAAATGACTTTTTAAAGTGCTGGTATCAAGTATTAGTAAGTGTATGAAAATGGGCATTATTCAAATTGTTGTAATCTTACTGAAGGGCAACATGGCAGCATTTATCACACTTTTAAAAATAGGGTGTTATTTTTAAGAGTTCTGCTTCCAGGAATTCATCATAAAGAAATAATGGAAGATGAAGTATGGTAGAGTGATTAAAGGCTTCACTCAGTGGTCATACAGACCTACTCTGCATTCTGGCTTTACCACTAATTTGCTGTGTAGCCTTGAGGAAGTTACTTAGTCTCTTCAACCTTCATTTTTCTCATCTGGAAAAGTGAGGTGATGGTAATTCCATCTCACTGAGTGATGCAAATTGAATTTGAGGATTTATATAAAGTGGCTATCACAGTGCCTTAACTAAGTGTCCATTACACACTGGCCATTAAATATGGAAGTTTGATATATAAAAGTATCACTTATAGTAGTGAAAAACTAGAAAAGCTGTAGCCCTTCAATACTGAGGGATTAGTTACAGTCCATCACATTGGAATATTTTGTTATGACTAAAAATTATATTTTTGAAGATGATTTAAAGAAAAATATTCACAACAGGTTATATTAGAATAAGCCAAAATTTTTTTTTATTTATGAGACAGTTCTCATAAATAAATGAAACTGGAATGCAGTGGCACAATCTCAGCTCACTGCAGCCTCCGCCTCCTGTGTTCAAGTGGTTCTCCTGCCTCAACCTTCCAAGTGGCTGGGAATACGGGCACTCACCACCATGCCTGGCTAGTTTTTGTATTTTTCATGGTTTCACCATGTTGCTCAGGCTTGTCTCGAACTCCTGACCTCAAGCAATCCACCTGACTTGGCCTCCCAAAGTTCTGGGATTACAGGCGTGAGCCACTGCACATAGCCATCTAATTTTTAATGTATTTATTAGCATTGAATGAGATTGCAAATACTTTAAAGTATTTGGAACAGTGCTTGGCACATGGTAAATGCTCAGCAGATATTTATACATACATACATACAACGTTATTGATTTTTTCCTTGTATTTTTTATAAAAGCATATATTCATTTTCTATTCAGAAGAATGGTTAAAGAATAAAGATTGATTAAAAGTAGTATGGGGTGGAATTATGATACCTTAGTTTTCTATTTTACATTCTCTCTGATGTCTGCATGCTTAAATAAACATATTTAAGTAAATTTTAAAATATTTTTATGTTTGAGGATAGGGTGGCAGGAAAGACAGGCAGTTTATTACTACTGGCAAATTGCAAGTTAATATGGTACTCCACATAAAAAAAGGACATATGGTCATTTCTCAAAAAAACATATCAAAATCACCAATAAGGTTATGAAAAGATATTCAACATCATTACTATTAGGGAAATGGAAATCAAAACCACAGGGAGTGAGATAACACTTCGCACCAAAATATAGACTATAGTAAATGGTGGTTAGGATGTAGAGAAACTTATTTATGGCTGGTAAGAATGTAAAATGGTATAGCTACTGTGGAAAGCAGTTTGGCATTTCCTCAAATAATTAAACATAGAATTACCATATATTAATAAAACTATAGTTAATATATATTGTATTCTTGGAGAAAAACATGCATTACTACATATGACCCTGTAATTCTACTCATTCCATACCAAATTTCATACCAAACACATTCCATACCAAATCTTTTATGAGAACGTTGATAACCACATTATTTATATAGCCAAAAAGTAACACTTCACCTGAGGAATGGAAAACAAAATGTGGTATATTCATGCAATGGAATATTGGCCATAAAAAAGGAAGGAAATGTTGATATATGCTGTAACGTGGATGAACCTTGAAAACATGCTGATTGAAAGCAGTCTGATTCAAGGCCACATATTGTATGTTCAGGATAGGCAAAGCCGATTAGTGGATGTCAAAGGCTGGGGAGGAGGGAATGGGGTATAATTTCTAATAGGAATGGGGTTTTGTGGGGGTGATGAAAACATTTGAAATTAGATGACAGCAATGGTTGCACAATTCTGTGAATATATTAAAAACCACTGATTTATTTTTTCACTTCAAAAATGATTGTAAAGTTCACTAGAGAGAATAAAGCTTTAAATATAGCTAAGAAATTGTTGGGAAAAACAATCAGGAACATGCTACCGTTAGATACTTAAATGTTTAATAAGATGGAGTAATTAAAATTATGATACTATTTCAAAAATAGATTCAGTAATGGAACAGAATATAAAGTCCAGAAACAAATTCCAATACATGATCTGTACATAGTTCATTAATGATGAATGTGGTATTTCACATAATTAGAGAAAGGATTCCTTGTTCAATTTCTGATGCTGTTATAATTAACTTTTTAGAAAATAGAAAGTTATTTTTTTTTTTTTTAGTCTTAAATACTAAATTGCATTTTAAGTGGAATAAAAACCTCTATGAAGGAAAAGGAGACCTGGGAGACATTATGCTAAGTGAAATACACCAGGCACAGAAGGATAAATATTGCATGGTCTCACTTGTATGTGGAGTCTAAACAAGCTGAGCTCACAGAAGTAGAGAGTAGGATGGTGATTGCAGGATTATGGGTTATGGTGGGGAATAGGGAGTTGCTGGTTAAAGGATACAGTTTTAGTTAGGTTAAATAAGTCCTGGAGGTCTAATTGTAGAACATGGTAATTACTCTTAATAATAATGTATACCTAAAGATTTCTAGGAGCATTATCTTAAATGTTCTCATCACAAAAAAAGAAAATACTTATGCAAGGTGATGGATATATTAATTCACTTGATTGTGGTAATCATTTCACATTGTATACATAAAAACATATGTCATACACACACACACACACACACACACACACACACACAATTTTAATTTGTCATTTATACTTCAATAGACCTGAGGGGAAAAAAGAAAGAAAAAGAATTTTGTCTGACTCCAAATTAAAAAAAAAGAATAATTTAAAAAATCAGTTGCAGCAATATACTGAAAATAATACAACACATATGACAAAGAGACTTAATATCTTTAATATGTAAAGATCTCTTTCAAACTCATAAGAAAAATAATGACTAACATAAATAGCAAATTAGACAATTCATAATAGAAAATTAGGCAAAATAGGCCAGGCGTGGTGGCTCACGCCTGTAATCCCACCACTTTGGGAGGCCGAGGTGGGTGGATCACAAGGTCAAGAGATCGAGACCATCCTGGTCAACATGGTGAAACTCCGTCTCTACTAAAAATACAAAAAATTAGCTGGGCATGGTGGCGCGTGCCTGTAATCCCAGCTACTCAGGAGGCTGAGGCAGGCGAATTGCCTGAACCCAGGAGGCGGAGGTTGCGGTGAGCCGAGATTGCGCCATTGCACTCCAGCCTGGGTAACAAGAGCGAAACTCCGTCTCAAAAAAAAAAAAAAAAAAAGAAAAAAACCTGAAAGATTTGTTTTATGCCAGAATGTTGCAAGTAGTAATCTCTGGTCAACAAGTAATGGATGATTTTTGTTTGCTTTTTCATATTTTTCTGTATTGGAATTTTCTATAGTGATCATTTTGTATCACTTTTATAATCAGAAGAAAACCCAAATGTTATTTTTAAAAGTTTACAGGACTGATGGCATATGTATTTTCAGTAGTCTTTCATTTTTAACACATTATCCCTCTATTTCATAGCCCTGCATCTGCAGTTTTCTTGTAGTTTATTTATTTACTTCCTCATGTTTTCATATGGAAGTTGGAAAAGAAGGATATTTAATGTATATCATATAAAGGTCATTTATCCCATTAGTACTGTACATTAAAGCCATAACTTTATATAGTATCTTTAGATCACTTAAATGTTAATTGGATCACTTAAAAGTAATTGCTGTCTTTTTTAAAAAAATCATTGCCTATATCTTTATATCTTTTTATTCTAACAAAAATGCCCTGAAATTCCAGTTAAAGTTTCTTCTTTCATTTAATATGCATCTTTATATCTTAGAAAAAAGAATATAGTGGATTTTTTCTTTAAAAGCCTAAGATTTTTTTTAAGAAATTGATTTTGTTAAAAATGTTTTTTTTCTTTTTTGAGATAGAGTCTCGCTCTGTCACCCAAGATGGAGTACAGTGGACCGATCTTGGCTCACTGCAACCTCTACCTCCTGGGTTTGAGCAATTCTCCTGCCTTAGCCCTCCTAGTAGCTGGAACTACAGGTGTGTGCCACCATGCCCGGCTAATTTTTGTATATTTAGTAGAGACAGGGTTTCACCACGTTGGTCAGGCTGGTCTCCAACTCCTGACCTCACGTGATCTGCCCGCCTCAGCCTCCCAAAGTGCTGAGATTACAGGCATGAGCCACCATGCCCATCCAGAACATTATATATATATATATATGCATGCCATTTTTCCCTCAAAATTAAATAATTACCATTTTATACATGGGAATATCCAGTAAGAAATAATCTAAATGTTTTTTCATATTATATAAGTTCATTTTAAAAAGTAGAATACTCTTTTTAATCCATATTAAGAAGCCATGCCAAAATAAAAAAGCTGCTATATGATAGCCAGAATGTTTTACAGGTTTATTTTTCAAAAATGTCATAAACATAAGATTAATTTTTATTTCAGGTAGAAGTTTATTTGGTGCTAATTTTTGCTTACCTTTTAAAATCAAATAAAGATAATGTTTTCCATTTCTCAGAGGCTTGCCAGCTATAGCCTCTAGAATAAATTTAGATGGCTGAATAAACTCATTGGAACTTAAAGGAGATGTTTAAAACATGCTACTTATACAGCTTGACCATCTTGGCTGGAAATAATCTTACTCCTTTGTACTATTCATCTTATTTATTAAATTGTTCATTCATTCATTTCATAAAATACTTATGTATCCACTCTGATGCCAGTAGGTGTAGAGGGATTGAAGCATCAATTAGGAGTGAATAAATACCTTAAAGCACTCACTCACTGAGTTTAATGGAAATGAAGAGATGCACTGAAAATTCTTTAATAAATGTGATGGAACACATAAGTACTATGGGGATTCAGAAGAGGGAAAGATTCCTGGGGAAGAAAAGTGTGTAAGAAATGGAAAAAAGATCATGGTACAGGAGAAGGCATTTGCCTGGGACCTTTGACAATCAGGTAAAGGTGTCATTCGGCATTATGCTGTCTATATTGTTAACTGTTCACAAATGTGTGTCTTTTTTCCTTAGCTGGTCTGAAAATCCCCTGATGGAATGTGGTAGGCCCTTGATACACCTTTCACTGATTTATGTTTTCTACCTGTCCAAGACACTCTCAAATAAATAATTTTTGCATAAGTGCTGCTTTTTAAAAAATGTTTCATTTGAAATTCTTTAGTTTGTAAGATATTGGTATCACAAAGATTTAAACAATTTACTGCTGAATTTTATTTCACTTATTTTAAAACCCTTTTATTATTAATGTTAAATGAGTTTGAGACAAATAAAGTCATTATCTCTTGAAAAATCTTATGAATGCATCATGTTTTTGTACTAATCCCTTAGAATTAAGTAGTGAACAAGAGAAACATGGTCTCTGCCCTCATGGCACTTATAGTGAAGAACGAATAATTTCACTGAGCCTGTTGTTGAACAGATAATAAGTTAGATATTATACAAATTTATTAAATGTAAAATAGAGTTTCTATCAGAGTAATCTGAGTTTATGTGTTCCCTTTACATCAGCATTACTTTTGAGTGAATACCCTAATGGTTATCATTATTTTAGAATTTGACTTTACTTCTCTGTATGTACCAATCAGAATATGAGTAGTCAAGGTCTAGGGAAAGGATGACAAATGAGTCCTTAAATTCTTTTGTCTTTAAAACAAACAAAAAAGAGGCCAGTATTGCCCCGATACCAAAATCAGAGACACATCAAAAAATAAAAATAAAAAAATAAAAAAAAAACCAAAACACTGTCACTGTTATATGGGAAAGGGAAAATTTGCATGTATTAAGCTTCCACTAAGTGACAACACTGTTCCGGACATTGTGTACAAAATATTGGTAAGAATGGTCTTGTCAAAAAAGGAACAAATTAAGGAGAAATCAGAGGCAATAACGGAGAAAGAAAAACCTTTGCGAACTCTTCTTCTTACTACCCTTTTTTTCTTCTTACAAGATTCTTCTTGATGAACTGTCTTCTACTAAGCATTGGGCATCTATGCACGTTTCAGACCACAGTGGATTTCACTACCGCCAGTTTTTGCTAAAGTCTTTGATTAGCCAAACTGTGATAGACAGTTCTGTGATGGAGCAAAACTCTTTGAGAAGTGAGCCAGCCCTAGTTCTTCCAAAAGATGAAGAAGCAGCAGCTTCAACAGAGGAACCAAGGATTAATCTTCCCCATCTTCTAGAAGAAGAAGTTGAATTCAGCACTGATCTTATTGATTCCTACCCAGGACATGAAACCCTTTGGTGTCATAGGTAAGAAAAGGGAAAATCTTATTTCCTGCATAAAACTGTGTATGTCCTTATGAGAGCTGCAGAAGGTGTTAGTGACACCTGATTCCTGCCTACTGGGTAAACATAGTCATCTGATTGTGGAGCTTTGCCTGAGTGAATATAAGAAGTTTTGTGTAACCATATCATCATCATCATCATCATCATCATCATCATCATCATTAATATGAGATTCCTCATGTAGATCTCTGCCTGCAGCTTAGGATGGTGGTATTCAACCTTGACTGTGCAGCGGAATAACCTGTGTTAGTTCCAAAATAAAACAGAATCAAAAGTTTTTGGACTCCTTTCTTGGAGATACTAATATTTAGTATATCTAGGATGGATTGCTGCTATCTCTTTTTTTTTTT